GCGCGTCTTCCGCCACACGTTCGGCCGGCCGCGGCGGGCGAGGAGCGCCGCGAAGCTCAGGGCAGGACAAGGGTGATTCAAGTTCGCTTCAACGTGAGTGTTCCGCGCGCGCCCGTTCCGGAAAAGCATCCACGCTTCGAGACCGTTCCGAGAGATGATCGCTCGTCCAAAAATCAGCCGAAACGAGTGGAGAACGGCCGAGAAAGGAGCCTTTGAAGTTGGGAATTTCGCACTCTTGTCCTGCCCAGGCGAAGCTCACGGAGCTCGCGCCCCACGAGCGCGAGCTCCTGGACGTGGACCTCCACGCGCACCGGCGGGGCTCGCCGGCGACGCACCCGGAGCTCCTCACCTTCTACGAGCTCGCGGGCATCGACCGCCAGTCCGTGCAGACGCAGAGCATGGCGCTGAAGAAGGCGCGGCGCGCCGTGCGGCCCCTCTTCGACGACCTCGTCCGCGACAAGTCCGCCGAGCGCGAGATCAAGGCGGACAAGCACAAGGTGCTCACGACCGTGCGGCGCCGCGGCGACCAGCTCCGCTTCGCGTCCGCGGTGATGCGCGCGGACAAGGACGTCGTCCTCGCCGCCGTCGCCACCTGCGGCCGCGCGCTCGAGCACGCGTCCCACGACCTCCGCGACGACAAGGACGTCGTCCTCGCCGCCGTCCGCAGCGACGTCACCGCGCTCCGCTGGGCGTCCGTCGCGCTCCGCGCGGACCACGACGTCTTCGACGTCGCCATGAACCAGCAGCCGACGGCGTCGCGCCACGACGTCGCCAAGAGGCCCCGGCCCCTCGTCCGCGACCACATGTGTTAACACGACGACGCCGAGGCGCGATGCGCGGGCGTGGCTTAGAGGCGCGTGCTCCGTGTTCCGCGCTTTCGCGCGGCGTCGGCTTTTTCGGATGGCGTCGCGCGCTTTCGCGCGGCGTCGGCTTTCGGGTGGCTTTCGCGAGCTCCCTAGCAGGACGCGGCGACCTCGACGCCCGGCTCGTTCCAGCGGACGCCGAGGTAGACTTTCGCGTCGGTCGCGGCGAGCGCGTCGCGCGCGCGCCACCAGGCCCGAGCGT